GCCAAACAGGCTAGGAGCACCACTGAGTAAGAGTCACCTCTCCTCCATCTTTTTATATACAGTTTGCAGTTTTATACCACAAGAGGCCACTTTCACATTAAAGCCTTGAAGTGTTTTGAACATTGGGGGAACATTTCTTGCAGTGTTAAGTGAATGAACAAGGTTCAGCTGTGCAACAGGGGCCCAGAGGATGACAGAAAACTACAGGAATCCTCTGCTGCTGTTCAGCATCTGGATTCAGTTCAATCAAAATAACTGATCAGTGAAGGCATTTTATTATTAACAATTTTATTCAGGTTCAATTCAGTACTTAAACTTTACTGTTTTGGTGTTGATACACAGGGGGGTTCATATTGAGCAAAATGGCGCTGATACACGCTCAGTATTGTGTTGTGGGTACAAGGGCCCCATACATTTATGGGTTGGTTGCAGCTTTCATTTAGTGGAGATATGAAACCACCACAAACACTCAGCCACTGGTTGCTGTGGCTTGCTTGTTTTTACTAACAGACTGCTGAGGTGTTACTATGTGATTACTGGTGTATTAGTGCGTTGGCATTAAACATTAAAAAGTGGGAATCCTTCGCAATAGCTGAAATTGATCACCTGCAACCATGCATTTTAAAAGTTGTCACTGTGTCACTGTGCCTGGAACAGGTGCAAGAACAGATGACAGAGTTATCACTAGTGGTTCAAAAATTCCTTTGTGCAATTTGACAAAAATTAAGTACTAAAAAACAGATGTCCTAATGCAGGTAGATGGTTAAGAAAGCTTCATCGTTTTCAATTTGCACCATTACAGCGTTGTAATCTATTATTTTTCTGTAATTTAATTTGCTCCCTTTAGTTTTTCCTGCACTGTTTATAGTCTGTGTTGCTTTTCTGAGAACCGTTTTGTTCTCTACCAACACTAATGACTGCCTAGAATCTCTTCTCATGTCACTTGGGTCTGGACGTGATAAGGTGAATTTTAATTAGAGGTCTTGCTGTCTACAGTGATGATGGATCAGCTGAGCACTGACGCCATCCAACACTCGGGGGAAGATGATGGGGGAGCAGTGAACACACCTCCTGTCTGTCTCTGGAAAGACTTCAGAAATGTCAATTTTTAATGTAGTTTAGATCAGCTGACCAGCAGCTGTGACCCAGTTTGTTGCTGATTTTTAACTCCAGCTTGCAAAAAGGCATCTTTCCCATACAGTACCATGCAAAAGTCTTGACCCACCCATCATTTCTTTTTATTTTGCATACAAGGAACTTGAGTTTCTTGCAATTTCTTGAGGTCTTGAGCAATAACCTTCAAATATTTTCTTCTCTCTTTTTCAGACCAGTTCTTGTACCTGACCATTTTCTGAAGAATGTCTTCCTTGGTAAGCTACGTAACACTGACCTATAAATCATTCTATTATAAAAAGGGCAATTAACTCAATGAATATACAAGTTTTGTGTCTACACATAAAAGACATCTCAGCAAAGAACCAATTTTAAATTGTACCTTTAGACACTTTGTTGTTGGTAGCCTGTCACAAAAACATTTTTTTCCCCATTTCTTTAGCGGAATCTGTCAAAACCAGTGGACTTGGATAGACTTAAATGCAGGATTCTGAGATCACAGTTCACAGGTCTATTTACAATAAATGAATCCAAGGAATCAAGGCTGAAGGCTTTTACGCAGTGAGGACCAAACCCAGGCAATCAGGCAGATTCACATTTTCACTCTCTCAAACAATCTCTCCAACTTTCTCACCAGAGTTTCTGCACAGAAGAGAGATGCGTAAGTACAAAAGACAAAGAGCAAACAGAAGAGGTAAAATGCAGTGCACTCGGAGGCAGACTTTCACTAATGGATCAGTTCAACAATCAGGCAGCAGATGACAAGCGATATGAAACAGAGGATGGAAGCCCAGTAACAGACTCTGGCCCTGAAACGCAAGACTAGGATTATGGCACAGACACATACACAGCCACACAAAGTTGTGCCCAGTGACGTGGCTGGGAGTGTATGCACCACTGACTCATGCTCACATTAAATATGAATTTCAGGTTTCAAATAATGAAGTCGGTGTCTGTAGAGTTAATCCTTGGGGGTGTGATGCCAGTAAAAATAGATATTCTTAATATAGTGATCTTAGGCACAAAGGTCTGGCTAAGAATAAAGACACCCACCTGCTGTTTCAAATTTTCTTATTGACAGGAACTGGCAATCCAAAATGCTGACTCAAAGGAAGGCTGATCTTAATGGGCGATGACCTAAAACGCTTTGTTTTGTTTTCCTCTCGAAAAGTCCCTCTGGCTGCCTCGCTGTGTCGGGTGGGTTGCCCAATGCTGGGATGTCTGGTTTGCACCTTGTTGGCGCGTGGCTGCCCGCTTGCCCATTGGGTAGGGTGGGGTGTCCAGGTGAGGGAGCAACTGTCACTGGGTTTTAACAGCACCTTAGTTTTCATACAGTAATACTCATCCTGTACACTTTGTACAGTCACACTCCACAATGCATTAAGTTCATAATTCTGATTGCAAAAGCTGCCAGAAACCCCAAAACAGTGGATACTGGGAATTGCCTCTGGTGCCTAACTAAAACCTTTTTGAGGACAGAGTTCTTTAAAGGAACCTCCTCACTTATCGGTAGGTAACACTCAGTACAGGCCAGTGGACCAACCCAGGTGACCCTTCATATTCACTCAAGGGACTTTAAAACTTCAAGAGTTGCTGTAAGTCATTCAAGGATAATGAGAACCATATTATATGAGGCAGAACATCCAGGACCTCTGGGACCTGCTCGAGAACCAATGATGTCTTCTCATGGCCCCAAGGTCTGTAGAGTAGAAAACTTGAATATACTCAAGTGCAAGGAAGAATTAAAAATTGTCACAAAATGTATCCAGCTCTCCTTTTGTCTTTTAAATAGAATATCAAGACTTTGGTTTGATGAGTGTTCATTAGATGGAAAGCTCTACTAAGAACATAAAACCAGGTTCCTGAACATTCAGCG